TGTACCCGTCCCGTGAAAATAATTTTCGTTTAATCCAATCACAATTTTCTAATTTAAAATAGTTCGTTGTTAACATTAATAATTGAATTGTGTAAAATTCAAAATGACCTCAGGAAAGATATCCGTATTTTATCCTCATAAATGTTACATATTTACAACCAAAATTATGTTTACTGCAAAAGTTCCGAACAATAACTTTTGTGTAAACTTTGGAAGGCCTTGACAATCTGTAATTTCTGAGTCTTCTTATCTCTCGCTCTACTAAGAGCAACGTATCATCAAATAATTTTTAATTTATTTTTTTGCCTCTACCCCTCTTTTTTTTAATTCTAATTTTTAAAAAATTTAAGATGAATTTCTAAAAATGAACAAAACGTTCTTGAAGATATATGTGGTGTATTACATGTACGAACCCTTTTCGATAGCGACAGACCAATAAACAGTAGTATTAGAAAGTGCTCACATCTCGTATAAATAAAATAAAATAAAATAACATACAGAGCTTTTAAATTTGAAAATAATAGAAGTTTAGACGATCACGCTACCTTGGTTTCAACATTTCACATCGCCTGAAGTTATCACAATGGTTGAAACCAAAGTAGCGTGATTTTTCAAATTTATATATTTATGTATAATAGCTGGCCACTCGTATTCGAGGATATTCGTCTACTAGGGTAGATAGCCAATCCCTGTTGCATACTCTCGCTCAGGCACATTTGTGTTTGTTCAACGCCCACAGAGCCCACCTTTGGTTTATACTGCAACCATGCTGAGCAGACCTTAGTTACAGTTTCTGGGAAAGAGCGTGTTATCTAGAATGACTAACAATCTGAACATATATATATATATATATATATATATATATATATATATATATATATATTGGGCGTTCCCCTCGTTTGCTGGGTCCAATTTCAGATCTTTCAAGGTGTCGCCATTTACATTTATTTCCCATTTCAACATATAATTCTCTCTGGAGAAAGGTATTTCAGTTAATGTTGGCTGGTTCTCTTGTATTACGCCCCCCTCCAGAATTTTAAATTTGTCTTTACAATTTGAAAATGAAAGTTGCCGGGGAAAAAAAAATCAAACCCCAAAATAACAAAAATAAATTTCAGAAGAGTTCACAGATTCTATTGAAAAACTTGAAAATACATGGGAGTATAAATAAAGTAATGTATTCCTGATTTTTTTTTTACAGCTTTTGTGTTCATAGATTCGTATTTTATTTAATTTTTTTTAAAAGAAAACAAACTTCGTTGTTTTTTAACAATATAAATTTAATCCCATACTTTACATTTATTTTTTACATTTTCCAATATACAAGGTGCATTCTAGAAGTTCTGAGATTTTTTTTTTTCAGGAATGACATTTATTAATTTCAAAGAAATACAAAACCTTAATCTCCTTCAAAGTAGTATCCTCTGAATTCAATTCGCTTGTTGTAGCTCTCCAGAAACCCTAGGGAAGTCATGCAAAGTGAAGGACCCTTGTCACAGCCTTCATCTTCTCAATGTTTTCAAACACAACTCCAGCTGATGTTCTTCAGCTTAGGGAACAAGGTCTGGACTGTAGGGAGGGTGTGGGATAGCCTTGATACTCATCTCTCTCAACACAAACTTTATTGCATCGTGAACTTCCAAATTATTTTCACCTTCCGACAGCATTCTGCAAACTAGTCAGCTGCAACAAGCAGTGTTTAGTAGGGCGCATTCAAAGAACTCTTACAGCCGTCCCCTTCGATCGGGAATAACAAAAGTTGGTCAGCTTATTAGTTGTATATTAATCGGCACCTGCTCTCATCTGGACATCGGGATCGACATCCCCTCTCTCTCGATTCCCTTTCTCCCCACCCCACTTGTTACGCTATCCTTTTCTGTCGGTTTCGCCGCTGAGATTGTGTAGATCTTTGCCTATTCCGTCGTTGGGATCTTCGGGGGTTGGTCGCGATGAATCCAGTTCTTCCTCTTCGTCCTTATGTTACTACAATTAATAAATAAGAAAAGGATACCAGAATAAAATAATTAGCAAATGGTGTTAAAAATATTTGAATAATAAATGATAAGTAAGGAAATCGACATTTGGCTAGCAGCACCTCCCTCGCGGCTCAGACGGAATTCATACGGACGAGATTTGGCAAACCTGGTTGCATCAGGCTGTCGATTGCTTGGTCTGTCTAGGGTCGACTTCGTTACGCCTGCCCTTCGGTTTGGTCGCTGACATCATTTAGATCTCTGCCTATTCCTCCGTTGGGATCTTCGGGGTTTAGTCGCGTTCAGTCTGGTCCTTCCTCTTCGACCTTTCCTCCATGGGTGGCCCTACAGGAGGGAGTTGGAACTATAGACGGATTCGCTCTTTGGATCACTGGGACAAGTAAGCTCTCTAACATGACAAGGAACGGCCATAGAAATATTTTACACTGGATGCTGGAGTGAACGGTTCGTTATCAAACGTACCACAATGACAATAAGAGAAATGCATCAGTAAATAAGAAAAAAATACAACTAATAAAATTATCATTAAAATTATGAGAATGTTTTATTATTGTTGTTGTTGCTAAAAATAACTGTTTGAGGGATAGTAATGAAAGAAGAATTTCACTACTGAACAAAAATAGAAAATAATATCACGACACATTTCCTACAATAAGTCCTCGTCCATAAAAGAAAATGTTACGTTATTACAATTAATAAATAAGAAAAGTATACCAGAATAAAATTATTAGCAAATGGTGTTAAAAATGTTTGAATAATAAATGATGGGTAAGGAAATCGACATTTCGATAGAAGCACTTCCCTCGCGGCTCAGACGGAATTCAGACGGGCTGTCGGATGTTTGGTCTGTCAAGGGTCGACTTCGTTACGCCTGCCCGACTGGCGCTGCCCTCTTCCGTCGGTATGACCGCTTAGTTCGTTTAGATCTTTGCCTATTTTGTCGTTGGGGTCATCGGGGTTTAGTCGCGTTCAGTCTGGTCCTTACTTTGACCTTACTTCCATGGGTTGGCCCTACAGGAGTTGAAACTCCAGGCGGCTTCGCTCTTGGCATCTTGGCATCACTGAGACAAGTAAGCCCTCTACCATGACAAGGAGCGAATATATATATATATATATATATATATATATATATATATATATATATATATATATATATATATAACTTGTTACGAACTTGTGGCCAGATGAACCACGGGTTCTAAAAAAAAGGGAAAACGTGGTTTCTTTTCTCGGTCTTCACTCAGAAATGGAAGGACACAAGGAATCAACGAAGAACAGACGCAAGACGATGGATTTCAAAAATTAAACATTTATTTATAAATATATATAACGAAACAAAGAAAAAAAAAAACATTCATTTAACAAAGGGGAGGACATCATTAAAGAATAGAAGGCGCGAGCGAATACATACATATATGAAAATAGATCGAGCCAAAAAGAACCAACTTATCTTGCAGTCGGGCTGGTATCTTCACATAAAGTTTTGATTCGCCGAAGCGAGAGTTTTGATGATAAAATAGTATCTTGCCCGGCCGACAATGTTCCTGGATTCTTCTTCTTTTCGTGTGTTCCCCCAGCATTTCATACAGGCATTTGGTTGGGTTGATCAGTCCATAGTAGCCCTTCCATCATCAGTCGATAGACTTCGTGGTCTTCCTCATCTCAGTGGGCGGTCTGACGATTTTTGCCCAGCGACGTTCAACTGCCGCTGGTTAGAGGGGAAACTGAAAAATCCTTCTTTGGTTTCGCTGTCCCCACAGACAGTCACGTGGGTTCCTTCGTCCTGACCGGGTACGCAGGAGAATAGGGCGCAAATCACGCAGTGTTTGTGTGATGGCCAAAGTTCAACGCATGCTCCGTACGTCCCGATCACGTGAATCGCAGCATGAGACCCTGATGGTGTCTGGAGTTTACTCATGGTCAAACGCGAAATCTTAGAACCAGGTCATCCTCGCGTCGGGTCACTTCTAAGTTCACGGGCCCTTGGCTGGCGGGTGGAAGAAGAGGATAAGGAGTGAAAGAATTTGTGAAAAGAAGAGGGTGGGTATGGCTGATCATAGAATATATTCGCTCGCGAATCGGAAGCATTGGATTAAATTTCTGTTTTATCTATTTATTTATCTTTCTTTTATATCTAACTAATTTTCTCTTTATTTAAGATTTTACTTTAGCCTAACGCCTATATGGTTAATGAAATCGTTGCTATGTGACAATATATATATATATATATATATATATATATATATATATATATATATATAATTTGGATGATGTCGGACCACTTTTAACTTATTATTACTTTAATGACAATAATAGAAATAAATCAATAAATAAGAAAATAAAACTAATAAAAGTATAAAATTAAAATTAAATATAAGATGACATTTTTTTAATATTATTGCTGCTAAATATAAATATCTAAGAGATAAAAATAAAGGAAGAATTTCATTACTGACGAAAAAATAATAACGTTACGATTCTCAACCGACGTGCCGCGGCACACTAGTGTGCCGCGCGAGCCTCTTAAGCGTGCCGCGAACTATTATCACAGCCTACATATATATATATATATATATATATATATATATATATATGTGTGTGTGTGTGTGTGTGTGTGTGTGTGTGTGTGTAGAAGTAGTAATCGTACAGCGTTAGTATTTGAATAAATAAATATTAAGCTGTTTATCTCGCATTAGCTAAAAAGGCTTTATTTGTTTTTTCTACTTCTTATCTATGTGAATTAGGCCAAATAACACCCAAAATAAGAAGCGAGAATGACTACGCTCAATTGAAGAAGAAATGGGGGTCTGCTTATCGACCAAACATTCGACCAAACATTAATGAAATCGCGAAAAAACACCAGGCACAGGTTTCACACTAAATAAGCTGCACAAATAGTTGAATAGAAACATTGAAATAAAGTCAGTTTATATCCAGTTGTAATTGATCTAACGAGACACGCTTGTTAACCATTACACCGCGTCGAAGTACCCATACTTAGCTCTT